TAGACATTGTTATCCGTGACAGACAAGAAAGAAAAGAGGAAAAGAAAGAACAGCTAATTGAAACTTTATTGTTCAAGGAATACTTATCTTAAAACTTAATTGACTCAATAGCAAAGATAGACATCAAGAAAATCAATTAATACTGCCTGCTCCCAGCTAAAAGATGCTGAGCACAGAGTTAGAAATGCAAAGCATTTGAATGTCTGCTTATTGTTCTATGCACAATTTCCTCAAATGAATTCAACCCCTTTTGGGAAGGTGACTTTGAATAACTCCCTTTGTTATTCTAATATAAGAAGTCTGGAATGGAAAATTGAAATTAAAAACTGATGTTTAAAGCCCACGAGATCTGATGGGGAAGCTCGTCTTTGCTTTTCCTTTCAAAGAATTGTAAAATTATAACCTATGTCTTGGAGCGAACCAGGCTGCATCCGTTCACCATCAGTACACATCTGATGTATATGCAGACCTGTTTAGAATGCTGCCCAAGTCATCTGGGCACCTGTATGTGTGAAAGCATTGGATTTTGGTGAAAATCATGGGTCAGGTGCAAGCAGACATGCATAGGCAGGTGTCACCGAGGACTATCATTCAGGCCACACAGAGAGGGAGTTGCCTCCCCATTCGTCACTAGCAAAGAGTGACAGTGATGCTGCCGCAGGCTTCTGGTCACTCCTGCTCTGGGATCTATACAGTGAGTCACCTAAGCCACACCCACCCTTGATCTATATCAACATCTTTGTTTGTACTGATTCTTTCCTCTACTCATGTCTCGCAACCGCTCTTCAACCTCATTCAGTACTTCAGTTTCTCTATTTCTGTACAATGCTCCTTCTTAGGACCTTAGAAAATTAGTACCCGATAAATCCGGATTCTGCTCTGGTCTGACACCCATCTACAGGACAGAAAGATCCACCAGGATCTCATCTAACACGATTCATCCTTCTGGGCCTCACCATGGTGGTACAATGTTACGCACGTAGTAGCTGCACAGTGAGTGTGTTCTACTCAAATAGCGAGGGGTGTGCTGGGGGAGACCATGTTTTCCATCAGTTCGTTGGGTCTTTGTGAGTTTACATTTTTATTTTTCAAATTAAGTTTATTGGCACAAGTTATATACATATTGGTCACATTTGTCATCGGGTGTGGAACCAGAGCATGATGTATCTTTATGCCTTTTCTCCCCATTCCCATCCGCCTTCAGCTCCTGTCCTCTTTATTTACAAAGGCTTACTTCCATTTCATTCCTCTTTTCTCCTTTTTTTCTTTGTCTACCTTCATTCTTCTTATCCCTGACCTAGGTGTCTTCTACTTTGAACATATTAAGAAATCAGCCAGCTCTTTGCCTCATGCAGGAGCTCTTGCTCCTTTTATCTCCTGTGCTCTGCCTTCCTCGTCCTACCTCATTTCAAGATGCCACAATATTTGGCTTTCAGTAAATAATGTCCACTCTTATTAAACTCCTTTTTGGAACTTGAATTTTCACAAAAACATGATGTCAGGGTGTTTTGGAACAAAATTTTAAGTTGATAAAAACCATTTCAGAATGAAATTACATATTTTAACAAATCATCCATTACTCATGTCAGTTATTCTAAGTTTGTAATATCAATTTACAAGCATTAAATATTATATTAAACAATTATTTTCTTTGTGTAGGTGTTTTTGAGACAGGGTCTCACTATGCAGCTCAGGCTGGCCTTGAACTTGCAATGATCCTCCTGTCTTAGCCTCCTAAGTGCTGGAATTACAGGCATCCACTACCATGCCCAGCCTTATAAAATGATTCTTAAATGTGAATGGTTTTGAAAAAATAAAGTGAAATTTTCCATTTTACTCATAAACATTTTCCTGACCAATTTAAGAATGTATCAAATATAAAGCATTTGCATTGATCTCCATACATTCCCAAGCCCTTTTGTGGCTATTTTAAGACAGTATTTCTAAGAATTAAAGAGCTTTAAAATCAAATATAGAATAAATATATCTGACAATACTGTTTTAATTAAGCTATTTGAGCTTTATGTAGTTTTGGGTCATCTTGAAAGACAATTATTTCATTTAGACCTACAGATTATGTTAAACTAAATCACTGGCTTATAGTAGGACTGCCTAGGTATTATTTCTATTTGTCTAGACTACTAGGGTTTTATTATTCACTTGTGAAGTAATAAAACTATAAAATATCTAATTAAGACCCTACAATTCCAAGTTATTTATTTATTTATTTATACCAGGGATCAAACTCAGGACCTTGCATTTGCCAGACAGGAACTTATGCCACTGAGCCATCTCCCTGGCCCCAAGAATAAATTTTTGTTAGATGCACACTTGCCCCCACTTTCACTCCTAATTGTTAATCTACTGTTCACTTCCTTAGCAAAGGTAATGTGATATTTTTGTATCTGTTCAAGGACTACTGTTTGAAAGGATTTGGCTAAAGTTATACAACCAACATAGTCCATGAACAGTCTGCTACTGTTATGAGGAAAGCTATGTTCACCAGGGCAGGGGATGGATTACTTGGGATATCACAGACACTTTCGAAAGAACAGAGAGATTCTGATTATCTTCCTCCTAAATTTAGTTCAACAGTTCTGTTTAATTCTTATTGACAATATCGCAAAAATTGTTAGTCTGAATTAAGTAGGAAACTGGTAACAAAAATGTTGATCATCTCCAAACCCACAGAAACAAAAAATAATTTACCTAACAGAAAAGCACTCCCAAAGAAAGCAAAGCTCTCTTTTGCTTACCATTGAAAGTGTGCATATTGTCCAGCCCATTTAAATGAAAATATTTAACTTGGCCCAATCTGTCAGTTAATGAGCTATGGGACACCCTGGAAAGGATGTCCTAAAATCTCCTAACTTCTGAAAAAATGCAGATATTTTCCAAGTTAAAGAACTCTCCTGTAGTCTACTAAAATGATGTCTTATAAGTAGGATTTCTTGTTAACATTCTGGATTCTAGGGATTCATGGTATGTGCTTACAATAGTCTACATCAAAAGCAAGCAAGGAAAATTTAAGCAGCTGTCTAGCAAAGCAAATCAAATCCTGATCAGATTGCCTTAAATGGCCCCTTTGTGTAGACCTAGAAGACTGGGCAGCAATGAGGCGCACTACCTTCTTAGGCAACGTCTAATTTGAGCACATTTTTAGCCTGGTTAAAGAGAAACTGCAAATTGCACTGACTTCTTAAATAAACCAAACTCTGCTCTATCACCTGTCATATAAGGCTGAATTTGAGTTCAGACAGAAGAATGTGGGGGGCCCGCCCCTTAGCTCAGTTCTTTAAGAGGCTGCTTCAACAAAGCAGTCAGGCTCAGGTTGCTGTGGTTTGATCCCCACAACTCAAGCCAGCCAAACCTGCCCTGAAGGCATTTGGACCAAAAAAAAAAAAAAAAAAAAAAAAAGAATGTGATGCAAAGCAGAAATAATCTTTGTTGCTGTTTTCAACATTCCATAGCTTTAAGTACCATTATAATTAAACTATAATTTTTAAATGTAATTTTAAAAATACATGACCTAGCCAATGACCTAGCATGTTAACCAATGCCTGTAATCAGCTCTGTGGAAGGCTGGAGATGAAGTTTAAAACCAGCCTGACAATTTAGGGACTTAGCAAAACCCTGTCTCAAAACAACAAAAACGAAAGACACGACCCAGGGTTTGGCAGGTTAACCACTTCCAACCGTGCACTGCAGCAGCGTGAGTTTCCTGCTCAGCACGCCTCCCGCCCAACTAAAGTACTGCGCTGCATTTATAGGTTTTAAGACACGGCTTCATCTAGCACCAGAGAGCCAATTCCATTTACATATTTTCCCTCTTTGATTCTTAGAATCCAAATTCCTTCCCACATTTCCTCTTTAGTTCTCTCAGGAACCTGTTCTTTCCTAACTTCTACCCACACCTGTATAGTAAGGGTACCCAAGTGCTGCTCCTCTACTGTGACATATTTTGTAAGTTATGCAAAATTGTTTTTAATCATAAGTATTAGTCACATGTGATACATGTAGCTATGCCAAAAATTGAAAGATGAAGGTTTAAAAGAGCATACTATTTAAGCTTAATTCCTATGAATATTGAAGAGTTTTCATCATATATCACAAATAGAAAAAGAATATGGAACATTAAATATTGATTCACTTGAATTTGTTTGACTACCGGTTGCTTAGTTTGCAAATTATAGTTTACTAGAAGACAGACAAGAAATGCACTGTCAAGATGGGATTCAAGGGGGACAGGGAGGTAGCTCAGTAGAATAAACGCCTCCCTGGCAAGTGCAAGGGCCTGAGTTCAATCCCCGGTTCCACACACACACAAAAAAGATGGGATTCATTGTTAAAAATTATAATTCTAGGGTAA